GTGAGCCTTCCAGTTTCCCTTCCTTCTTCCCTCGGCAGTCCTTCCTCCCCCCTTTTCTGTCCAGCATGTGGCACATATGGACCGCACACCACTTCTCCATCATGGCCTCTGACATCATTATCCTGGAATGAACGTACGTGTTAACGTGTGTACATATGTGTGTGTGTGTGTGTGTTTGTTTATGACTGTGTGGGTTCACTCACCAACACTATGTGCACAGTCTGGTAGTAAAAACACATTTGCATGCCTGGAAATCCAAATTTGAAAAGATATCTTATAAAAAAGTAACATTCTATATAGATGTCAGTCTGTCAGTCGTTCCACCACTTCGTTCCAGACTAAAATATTTCAACAACTGTCATATGGAGTGCCACGAAATCAAGTCCAGACATTTGTGGATGCAAGATGATAAATCCAGATGACTTCGCTCAGACTTTTCCCTTAGCGCCATCAACACAGTGATACTTTTGATTTTGAGTCCCAACAGCTTTTTGACAGATTGCTGTGTAATTTGGTGCAGAAACCCGTGATCCTTTCCTCTTTTCAACAAGCACCATCGCCAGGTCATCCTTTTAATGTGTCATATAAATTGGTTCATAGAAAACCTGCACCAGTCTTTCCCCTCTGCTTAATTAGCAAATGTTTGCCTGATCTTTTTTGAACAATCTTAAATTCAAAATGTGGCTCAGGAGGTAATGGGGGTCGTCCAGTAAGTAGAAGGTTGTGGTTTGATCCTCGGCTCCTCCAGTCTGTATTCTGAATTGTCCTCGGGCAAGATGCTGAACCCCAAACAACCGCTGTGTCGACAGTGTGCGAATGGCGTGTGATAAGCACTAAAAAATACAGGACATTTACCGTTTATACTGGAACCAGGATGTCTATTTAAATAAATGGTGCTCCATTTGCTCATGCACTTAACAATAACTGAAATGTCTGTAATAACTAATCCTATTAGTGTCACAAATTGCGTTTTGAAGTTGTTTAGTTCAGAAATCGTGCGGAAAAATGTATTTCATGTTGGTGTGTGTACAGTTCTTTGACTTTTCTTTTTCTCTTAGCCAAGGATTTCATCAGCAGTCTGATGGAAAAGGATCCAACCAAGCGTTTCACCTGTGAACAGGCACTCAGACACCCTTGGTGAGAAACACACGCACATGCAGTGTCAAACAGACTAAAAAAAAGGCCTTAAATCAATACAGGTATTGATGTACTGTCAGAGGTGTTAACAGAGAATTTCTGCGTGTGTGTGAATATAATTAGGATCGCTGGGGATACGGCTCTCTGCAAGAACATCCATGAGTCAGTGAGCCGACAGATCAGGAAGAACTTCGCCAAGAGTAAATGGAGGGTAAATTGAGTTTACTCCACTTTGTTGTCTGTGGTCTTGGCTAACTTGTTGCAGACTGTTGTATAACTCCGGTACACCTGGCTCACCATATGTTCAGGAGTAAACCACATTCCTCCTGAAGCTCTTGGAAGAAAAGAGTCACCTGCTGACATGAAAGAGATTACACTTTCCTGAAGAGCTGCTCCTCACACAGTCCGTCAGTTTCAGCACATCGTTGTTCCAGTTTTTCATCCATCTTGACTCAGATGTTATTGATGGAAGATTAATGTATCGTGGTTTCTTCATTGAAAGCAGATTGTAGTAACTCTGAAAGTCTCTATGACATGAAAAATCACAGAAAATAATCCCCTCTCCCACTCGTGATTCAGTGCATTGATGTGTGTCACATATGTCACATTGTAATAAAAATGGCTTTTATGATGACCAAGAATTCAAGGTTTGTTTATTCATCTTTCCATTTCCATCCTCTCCCCAGCAAGCGTTCAATGCCACCGCAGTGGTTCGGCACATGAGGCGGCTGCAGCTTGGCAGCAGCATGGGCAGCAGCATGGACGCCTCCAACCAGCCGACCAGGCAGAGCCAGGCGCAGAAGCCGGCCCAGAGCTCGAGCCAGGCGGTTCAGAACCAGTCAGCTCAGAGCCAAAACACAGCGCAGAGCACCAACATAGCCGCCAGCAAAACCTCTTCCACTGACAACAACATAGCAGCGCCACGCAAGGAATGTGAGTATGAGTCTGGGGTGTCAGAACATACGTACTTGACAAAAAGTGAAAGACTGGATTATTCACTGAAACCTTCAATTGTCCAATTCTAGTTTAGAAACCGAAACAAAAGAAATGCTCTGTATAAGAAGATCTAGGAGAGTAGTGGCATTTCCAAACCAAAGCACAAGAGCAAAAATGTAGATATTGGATTAAACAGTGTGTTTATCTGGTTTGACGTGAGCAGTAAACGTTAGTATGACCCATTCATTGAATATAACGATGGACAAAGCGTCTCCAGTTCCTGACACTATCCAGAAATGAAGCCAAAATATCCTGGAAGCGAACGCTGTCATCTTGCGCCGATGACGTCATTTTAGCTGACAAAAACAATCACCAGGTAAAAAGGAGACAATAAACTATGGCTGCATTTGGAGCGATCTGTCATCACAAACTGCGGACTTGCTAGTTTCAAAGTGAAGCAGGACAAAGTGAACCGTTTTAAAAACATGCTGCTGATTTAACAGCTAACTTTTCCCTCTCAGGCGTGACTGCGCCCGTCACACCCTGCAGTCTGGCGTCCGCGGCCTCGTCTCCCGCCACCGGGGCAGAGCTGAACCGGCCACATCCCTCAGCGGTGCCGGCCCCAGTGCTCACGGAGACCAAGTGACGCCAGGTCCCGCGGGGAACCAGCTGGGAGGCCACAGCACTGTGAGGCAAAGAGAAAAGAGGACACCTGAAGAAGAAGAGGATCGCCCCCTTCTTCGTCCTTCTCTTCACCGTACTTCCTCTTGGATGCCGTCCAGCCAGTTCCCCGCCCTGCTCCCGGGAGAGCAGAGGACTTTTCCTCCACTCCACCGATTCAAGCCACACAGCGCCATACTGTAAGCCCACCCACCCACCCATCCACCAGAACAGCAGCAGCATGGCCTCTGACTAACAGTGCGGATCTTTGTGCGGCCGGCTGTGGTTGGTTGGCATTTGATGATGAGTGTCGACTGCCCTGAAATCGAGCAATGATCAGTGGCTCAGGAGGGGCGGTGGTATCATATTATTCAATGTCAGTCAACATCAACTTCCCTCTTTAATCTAGTCTTTCTTGCAACACTTTGTTTAGCTTTTCTCCAATCTTAGGTTTGACTGTTGGTAACTGGATCGTTTTCTATTTTACTATTATTAATGTTCATTTTAAAGGTGCTATGTGTAACTTGAAACAAATATATCATTGTCAAACTGATCGCACTACTTTGGTATTATAGCTGTAAATAAAAAAGACCAGAGACAAGATGACAGCTTGCTATTAATTGCGGGACAATTTGTCAAGATTAAGACCCCATTTCCCATAACCCCCCTTGTTTCATCTCCAATGATCACCACACTCTCTGAAATCAGTAACTTTCTCTGTGAACCAATCAAGAGGATTTAAAGTCAGAAAAGAGGCGGGCAGACTTCTGAATAATGACATCACGAGTTTACACAAATCCCATTAATGTTGTAAACTTAATTGACAATGATTTATCCATGTGAAAATGTTTCACATGGCACCTTTAAGACTTTTTCTACGTCCTTATGGGCTTTTTGTTTGTTCGTGCTTTAAGAAGTGCTTTAAAAGTACCATACGACTGTTGAGATGTGAAAACACAAGTAAGCGTTTTACCTATTTTGCACAGAGAGGGCCAGATATGTTCTCAGACACAGATAAGCCGCACTCCACTTATGTTTTTCATACAGAGATTAGAGATTGTAAAATTTCAAAAACAAAAAAACTACAGAAACCCAGGGTGGATTTCAAAGCATTTCACTACTTGTATATTGTCTGGAACGTTCTGATTTATTCTGATTTATTTATTTTTATTTTTACTTTATAAGAGTTTTATAACAATCACCCTTAAAGGGGAACACATACAGGTTACTAAGAAGCATGCAGCAAGTTAAGGATAGGTTAGGAGGAGATATGTATTTACTGGAAAAACTGCCTCCAGCTGAGAATGTTTGTGACTGATAGCTCACATTTCACTTCCCAAACGAAGGAGCCACAAGCAGCACAGGGAGCTACAGGACATAAAAATGTCATGTTATATTCACCGGCCTCCCACGTGAACCTTCTAAGTATTTTGGCCCGTGTGGAGTCAAAAAAACCAGGTTGGAGAAGCTGCGGCCTCCCGTTGTTCCGTCCCCCTCTAATGAAGCCATGATCTCCCCTTCCTCGCGTCATGAAGCTGTACACAGATCAGAAGTGCTCAGGGAAAACCGCAGCTGTACTGTGTGCTTGCCAACGCTGGTTTCCTGGTTTAGGTGTTTCCATTATTGTCCAGGTGATGTGGCTTCACGGTTAAAGATCCAGGGCTCAAGACGTTAGCCGTGTCCTTACTGCAGAGTTGTAGTGACATGGCTTTTTTTTCCCTCAGTGCTACCGTCACGTCTCACCTGATCACCTGTTTGGTTAATAGGCCAAATATCAAAAACAGAAAATGGCGTAGAGCACATATACCCCCGCAAAGGCCCAACAGTCCCCATAAATTCTATCAAGCTGCACCAAAGTGCACACAATCAAAGATATCAGTCCCTTAAATGTGCCTGATCTTTTATAATCAAGATAAAATTGGTGAAAAATTTCAAAAGCTATTCTATCTCACAATGTTAAAAGAAAAAAGGGATACAAAATGGTTTTTGTCTGGATCCACGGCAAGATTTAATGGGTTCTCTCTTGGCTCACGTCCCACAGACAGTAACAAAACAACCAACAAGGGCCGGGGTGAAAACATAAACTCCTTGCTTGAGTTGAAATTCCATCATCAGTGGAGTCTCTGTCTGGCTGCGACAACAGAAATAGTCCGACTTTAAGTTGCTGAAGTGAACTAAAACGTAAGGGCTGAATTAATCTGAGAGACATTATTGACTTTTGACTTCCTCTTCCTACTCTGTAGCCATTTGCCTTTTTTGCTCTGCTGAAATCTATCTGCAAATTATTCTCCGTGCTTGTTTTAATCTGTATGAGGTGAAGTGCCAGTAACTCAACACTCACCCAAGCTGTCTGGAATTCACCTTGGCTCACTGCGTTGTTTTTGTGTGTGTGTGTGTGTGTGGATGTGTTCAGCCCAAACTATCTGGCACTGATATCGACTTAAACAAAACATGACGAGGCGTTTGTGAATGTTGTCCAATCTCAATCTGTCTCCCTCGCTAACCTCGCTCTGGGAGGACAATTCCAGTTTTTGGTTTTTTGCAACTCTTCCAACTTTAAGAAAGTGCTAAACTAAATCACTGGAATACCCCTTTAAGTCACCTTTAATGACGCTGGAATTGTCCTTTAACAGAACACCGTGCACCCCACACCACAGATCTGCTGCATGGTTCCCCAAGCACTTCATACATTGTCCTTATAGAGACTGGTTTAGACTTTTTAGATTTTAGACAACTGACAGAAAAACTTGCTGTTACTTCGTGCACGTCGTCCTTGCAACTTCTCCAATCATTGCAGAGTTTTAGCTCCATAAGGCTGAAATAGTGTGTAAGCAGAGGCCAGTTCACCTGATTTATTGTGTTTTTTTTAAATGTGCACATCTCAAAGCAGTCAGAGAAAGCTAACCTCGTTTCTTATCGAACGACAACACCCATGCATCTTCACAGGAGCCTGTATTTATTCTGACGTTTTTACGGCGAGGTCTTTCTGTTACATTTTTCCCCGCTCACCCCTGTTTCAAGTCGGTCCATGTAATTACCCACGAGTCACAACAGAGAGAAACGTTCCAACCATGTAAGGGCTTTATATTCCAGTGATCACATTAATCTGATTAATCACTGTAACCGTGTATAGTACGTGCCCATTTACTGCTATGCATTTTTTAACATTTTGAACTGTTTTTTTTTCTTGGAAGTGAAATCAGGAAACCCAGAGGAAACATCAGCAGCTATAGTAAAAAAAAAGATTTGAGGGAATAAATATGTGCAAGACACTGAGTCCCTCTCAAACTGTTTCAATCACTTAATGTTAATTATCATATTTAGAATTATTATTGAATGAGCTACGTTGTGAAAATGATGTTCCAGGTGCTTCTCTGGCACAAAGAATCGTCTGCCGAGACTGCAAGCATACTTTGATTCAATTAGATGTCGTCCATTTCAGTTGGGACGCTTCGGGTTTGCGAATGTGTCGTGAGGCAGGCAGAGGGTTCAGGTTCATGCTCCTCTGTGGTTTCATGTTTGTGTTTGCTCAAGAGAGAAAGACAGAGATAAGAATTACTCTTTCCATGTTAAAGATGCTACTGTAAATAGATTGTGAAGACAAATGATCATTTTCAAGATAACCTATAAGAATGTTTTGCTTTTCAGGCACGAGTGAGTGGACGAGCGTGTGTCGAGGGAAGTTGATTGTACTCTCTATGGAATGTTTAATGTAGAAAAAGAAAAAAAAAAAAAGCTGAATTGCCCTTTACTCCCCACCGCAGTTTGCTTTCATATACTGTACCGCACTGTGTGACTGCCACCTGCAGAGCTGCACAGTTCAATGCCATCAGTGTTCCACCACCACTTCAGTCAGCCAACTGAGGGTGAAAAGCATTGTTTACTGAACTCAGGCTTACGTTTTTTGCCATTCTTAAAGGAAGAAATCCAAAGCTGTGACCGACCCAGAAACAGAAAACAACGCTGTTTTGGGGCGACAACGAGCCGCTCTCATCCGCCCATCGTCCTCTGACATTTTCTTTTTTTAATCAAAGACACTGCTGTGAAGTGCATCGTTGCAAAAAAGCTGAAAACACAAGCATGTCTGGGAAAAAAGTGCTTCAAGAATCCAACTCCACCATGAGTGTTTGCATAATCTTGTATTCCCTTGTATGATGTTAGTATCTCTGTATTATGTAAAGACGCGCACAGGTTGAGATTCCAGAGTCCACGAAAAGCTGAGGTCAATCAGCGGCAGATTGCAGTTTCAGTTTTACCAACAGTTTTAGACTTGGAAAGAATCTCATTGCTTATTACACTCACTTTCACATACGTAACAGCATTGAAGATATTGTGCTTGTGAATAATGTAATAATTTAAGAATTGGCCATTTAAGAATTAATTGTATCAAAAAGCACAAATAACAGTAAATCATTATTGGTGGTCGTGTCAGAAAGGTTTTTGAGCAGTTATTTTGCAGTATACTTTGTAGTACATATTTCAAGATGATTTGTTTTGGCCAGAGGTTCTTCAAGTTATCTATTTGTGACTGTGGCCCCTATAGGAATATAGCCTTGTATTTTTGAGACCTTGGTTAACATCTCAAAAAGTCAACAACATAGCTAGATTAGCTGAGGCTAACGCCATATCTCATATCAAATTTCAAGAAAGTTGGAAAAAAAAAATTTCCTTGGGTCATGCCCCGCCCCTCCAAAAGATTTCATGGAAATCGTGTCAGACGGTAGCTTTTCGTTAATCCCGCTACACCTGGCGTCTCCCTGTGCGCGTCCTCGTCCAGCGCCTGCTGAGCTGGCTGGCTGTATTTACTCTCTGCATGTGACCACGACAAACCCCCATCTTGTGCACTGTCGCCATGTTGGTGCCACCCTCACGTCTCCGAGCGGGCGATGCCCGCCGCACTTGTTGTGCTGTGATGATGATGATGATGATGATGACTTTCTGTAAATGGGGCTTGTATATCCGATGCCTTCGACAATCATGTGCACATATCAGAGTTACCATGACGACACAGGCCAGAGCGATTGATTGTGTTTCGTTTGTCTTTTCTCCTCAAATAAATCCTGAATGATCGTAAAATGACCCCTCGCCCTTATATTCTTTAGATGTGTTTTTTTATACACGTACAAAATAAGTGTTGGCTTATTAGTGTCATTTATACCCAGAAGAACGACTGCACTTCTAAAAAATAGAAACCTGTGCATTACTGTGTGCAGACACCAGACTCTCCTCATCGCTCTGACCGACATTCAGACCATATATATGCTGCACAGCAGATGTTGAGCAGACAGGCAGATGTTGAGATATATCATTATGGTTAAAGCATTTAAAGCACATTGGCCACAGATGTTTCTTCCCTCTGTGGTTTCTGCCTTAGGTTTAACTCACAGTATTCCCACTTGAACAATATGCATTTGCAAAGGTTTCAGTAATAAGAGGCCTTGTATCAATGTGTGAAGCAAAACAAATTTCAACAACTCCTGCCTGTCTGAATTATAGGCACTGATTAGTTATCGACTAAAATAAGCAAATTCAATAATTGTTAATTATGCATTTATAATTATACATGTATTTTAAAGTTTAACATATTAAATAACCTGCTCTTTACTAACAAACTATATAATGCTCAGAGTCAGACTCTGGCTTCACATTTCATCACCTTCAATCATCTTCATATAGGATTTCTTGTATCAGCAGAACAATTTTCATTCACTGGATCGTTGAGTCCAGCATCCAGTTCCTAAATCAGCGAGTTTGAAACTCTAGACCGGGGGGGGGGATTCCCAGCAGCCTCAACTGTTCTTTGACATGACGGCTCCCCACAGGTGAAGCCCCCCTGGTGGCTGGCTGCAGTATGGATCATTGAACCCCTCCTCCATGTTAGTGGATGGAATAAACTTTATTTCTCCACTGTCCTGACACCTACAGAGGGCCCGGTGAGATTCACTCGTGCTGTTGGTCTCTTGCTAAAATGGAACCACAGACACCAAGTTGTGCAGCGTGATAAACAGGCATCTGTTTGCTCCATTAACTTAAGATGCATTTGTGCCATATTTCCACTGTGCGCTGGCCCTGAACGCAACTTAAGAGAGAAGAAGAGTCAGAAATATATCAACATGAGACAGAGGAGCTGCAGGCTGCTTCCTGCTCCTCTGAACCCCACAGTTAATAAGCTCTCACACAATCTCACTTTTCAAAGTCAACTTTTAAAATTATCTTCGAGTGAAGTGACTCACTTTACTGAGTTTTCCCTGCTGGGCTGCTTTGTACAAGCTCATCGCTCATACGTCGTGTTAGTAATTACAATGATATTGGTCCTTTATTAGCAGAGTTGGGGCCTGTCGCAGCTTTTTCAGGTTCAAGTCATCAGATTTTCCTCTGGACTGTCCCTGTATATCAGCTTATTGGAACTCTCTCGCTCTCGCTCTCTGTCATACACACACACACACACACACACACACTGAATGTGCCAGCTTAGTCAAAATTATTCATCCCTCTCACACTGACACCAAAGCACTGAAATGAAAATTGTGAAATCAAAGTATTTCACATCCTTTTGACGCTCCGTGCCTAATAGGGTGCACAGACAAACATTACCCTTCACACACACACACACACACACACACACACACACACTAACAGTTCTTGTTGACATTGGCTGTCAAGCTGCGAGTGCGTTTGTGCTCCAGAGTCACTGATCTCTCTGCCTCTTAAACTGATTTCTCCTCATCTTTAATTCAGGACTTTGCCCCCACCGCCTCCACCAGCCCCCCCTGTCTCCCACCCCCCCTCTCCCCTGCAGAAACATGGTGTTTTGTTCTTCACTAATCACCATAACAACGCTAATTACAGGCAGATCATCTGAAACTGCGAGATAACGCACAGCCCCGTGGGAAGCAGAGCAGGGATCGTGGAATTTGATGTGTTCGAGGGCGGCCCGTGTCATTTGGGCGGACAGTTCTGACTGCGAACAGCAGGCGGAGATGTGATGTTCCCCCTGCTGCCCCTGAAGACTAAACCAAACTGTAAACTGTGTTGGAAATAAACTTGAGGCTGCGTCAATATGCCGCCAGTGACCTTAAGTGACATTTTCTTTCAGAGGCATGGAAGATAAT